TTCACAAGTTTGTATCAGAAGATCGAACTCATCCAGAGACAGAAATTATATATGAACAGTTGAGCAGACTGATCAAGAAACTGCAGGAAGCTGGATTTAGTCCCGAGACAAAATTTGTTCTACATGACGTGCTCAAAGAGGAAAAGTTAAAATCAATTTGTCACCACAGCGAGAAACTTGCACTTGCATTTGCATTGGTTAGAAAACCACATGTATGTATGCCTATAAGGATAATGAAGAACATACGAGTTTGTGGGGACTGCCATAAGTTTATGAAGTTCGTGTCTAAAATCACCAACCGTCCAATTATCTTGAGAGATTCAAACAGATTCCACCATTTCAATGAAGGAAAATGCTCCTGCAAAGATTACTGGTAATGGGAAGACCAAGATTCTTTGAGAAAAATGGGACAATGTGACAAGGAGCCTCTGCAGCCAAGATCAAGCATGTAATACACTGCAAAGAATTTTTGAAATGGGAAAGGCGAATGTTATTATTCTGGATGAGTGCTGTGGTAAGAGGGACTTGAGTTTGCCAAGATTGCAGATAAAAAAAATTCTCTGCATAGGAGATGGTTGTTTTTACCGGAGACAGTTGTTGCATTGCTGTTAATCAGCCTGGAACATACTTTCAGCTGGACTGATTGTATCACTTTCTGACAGGGAATCGGATCAACCCTTCGCCAATAATTATGATGAGAACATCCTCTTCACTGACAGATACCACGAGAGTACTTATGAGCAAGTTGTTGGCTTTGCTTACTTTTCCTCTCAACGGGTTGGAAACCTTGGATGCTTTGATCCATGGAAAAGGAAGGTTTCAGCTGCTCTAAACTCATCAAAACGAACTTAGACGTCAGCATCCGTATTGGCACAAGTCCAAAATGCTCTGTTTTTACATTGACTTTGGCACAATTGAAAATGGGAGATTTGGTACAAATAAAGACGCAACCTTTAAAAAAATTTTAATTAAGGATATAACATTTTTTCTTTATCAAACAAGGTTACCACCTTTTAAAAGTTTCTAATTAAAGATATGGCATTTACAATTTTACTATTGAAGATTATGGCCTTTTAAAAGTTTATAGTCAAGGATATGACCTTGCACATCTTAATCATCTTTAAGAAAAATCACAAAGATCATATTCTTAATTAAAAACTTTTAAAAAGAAATGGCCTTAATTTTTGAAGAAAAAAAGTTATATTCTTAATTAGAAAATTTTAAAAAGCTATGTGTTTATTTTTAACAAATCTCTTGAAAATGGGGATTTTGACATAATTTTGAGTGTTAGAAATGTCAAAAGTTAGAGATGAGATTCCTACACTTTGTGAAATGATTATAACTAGAGTCAATGTTAATGAAAACTATTTCAAATAGTTTTACATTTTAAAAAGAGAAAAGTGAAAGTCAATAATTACTATATTAGGATTGCATGTAAAATAATTCAGGAATCCTCAATGATATTTCCTTGCATGTTTATTCATTAATAGGTTATAAATGAGTTGACTTACTTTTGAACTACCAGATTCAAACTTAAGTTGGGCTTCACTCGACCCCAATTTCAGCTCGAGTATGGAGAATCAAGCTCGAGTTCAAACTCAAATTTGAGTTCAAATAATCAACTTGATGCAGTGTATTAAAATATGAAAAAAGTATTTTGCAAGTCATCCTCCTAAAATTTGTTTAGAGAACACATTTAAAAATTTGTCTTCTAATTAATATTATAGAGAACTAATTATTAGATTGAAAGTTTTATTCATATAGATCATGCATGTCAATTTTTAAATTATTCTAATAAACCTAACTACTTTGTTGATTATATAAAATTTAATATCGTTAAATATATGTTAATAAGTAGAGTTTCGTTGATAAAAGAGTTATAAGTATTAGATTAATATGAAATTGATATGCATAATCTACATGAATAGAACTTTCAATTCAACAGTTAATTTTTGAAAATATAAATTAGAATGTAAATTTTTAGATATGTCCTCTAAATAAAATTTAGGAGAACAACATATACTATATTAAAATCTTAAAATATAATTATATATTAAATATTTAAAATTTTATTGTTATTTAATT